TAAAGTATTTTGAGTTAGGAGTGCAGATATATTCAAAGACAGTTTCATAATGAATGCTTTCAATGAACAAAATATTTGATTGAAAAACTAAAAGTAATTATTCCAAGTGGTACTTTATCACAAAATTCAAAAACCAGTAATTTTCTCCTTTTTTAACAATAAGTAATAATTGCCAGCTATAAACTGTTAGAAAAGGGATCAAGTCAAATGTGAAAAATAACGACTATTCCAGTAAGTCGCTATCTTTATTATTACTTTTTCCTTTGGGTTCCGAGTGGAACATATGACTTCAACAACACGTCTCCATTTTAACTTGCTCTTGGAAGTCTTCACTTTAGTTGGCTCCATAGTCGCCCATAAGCTTTCATTTCCGCCTTAGACGGTCTCATTCATGTCAGCCTTGAACACAAGCCCAACTCGTCGCTGCCCTTTCGGGTTCACGATGTTACTAAACGATCTTCTCAACGTATGTCCAGTCCACCTTCACTTCCTTCCACATATTTGTTGGGCAATACGTTCTTAGGTGGTTCGTTGACTGTCAGAATTCCATGTTGCTTATCTTTTGTGGCCGCCTTTTATTCAATGTCAAACCAACAAAGTCTGGAAATGCTTCCCATAAAGTGACCGCTAAGTCTCTGGAGCACATAAAAGCACTGATTTGACACTGCAGCTGAAGACTCGGATCTTTTTCCTCATGCTGAATGCTGGGCAATGAAGGTATGTCTTGCCTTTCCGATCCTGCGTGACTCTGACACTCGTCCAAGCCGCCCATCTGTAGTTGAAAATATGTTGTCTTGGTCTGACAAGTAAAGGAGACGACCATCTATAGATTCCTCCCACTGATGGCAGCCGTTGTTCGTTGGGTATCATCATCACCTCTATCTTCTCTATGTTCACTTGAAGTTCTATCTTCACTTTGTCTTGTGTCGACTTGTCAGTTTTTGCCTATAGATCTTCAGATGGGTGTGACATTGGACATTCAACAACAATACTGTCATTGTATTATTTACAAAATTTAAAAATATACCAAATGTATCGTTTGATTAGGGGCATGTCAAAAATAAATAAATAATCACTGATGATTATAAAAACATCCGTTGACTTGTCAGAAAACTATGATGCATTCAGCCCTCAAGTATGACAGATTTATTCAATTTCAGATCAGAACTACAAGAACTATCTTCAGCTTATTTCTCATACATAGTTTCATAGCTAGGGATTTGGTAATATTCACCTCTTTGATTCTCTTCATGTTCGTTTTTCTTATCAGTGTATCTATTTAATACGTAACAGTGAAGAGGTGATTATCTTGTAGATATTTGTCTGCCTGTTATCAGAGAAGTTGAATGACATAATTCTGCTACAATAAATGTTGTTAGTCTGCCCTCTAACCAATCTTAGAATGGTCTGTATTCTAGTATATCACAAGATGCTAAACCACATGAGAATAAAATCTAATCAACCAAATATCAAATGTGTATATAATGAATATTATATTGCTAAAAGGCATTATGAACCATAGACATAATGAAGAATTTTTGAAGTTCAGGTGGGTGACAGTGATGCCGTTCTGTGCTTTGGAATGGATAATTTAATTGTGAAGTCTTCATTGCCTTTCTATACAACGTTTTTAGCTCTGACTTTAACATGATTTCAGCTCGGAAGACACGACCACGTGGATTATGAATACCTTCACATATTTGTTGGTGCCTTTAACATAAGTTTAAAACTTCTTGAGGTCAATCATATTATTAGCTTGTTTTTAACCCAGTTTGTCGCTATGGTTTCTAGACTTGTTTAGACTAAGATGCCAAAATATTCTAATTACATACATTAGAACCACTCAAGAAAATAGAAGTAAAAATAGGTCACAAAGTAATATTTCATACCTTTATTAATAACAGTAAAGATAATATAAACTTTGCTAGAGTTTAAAACTTGAAAAACTTGTTGAATCTTAGATTATTACTAGTAGAACTGCTCCAGCTTATATTTACCACACACTTTCATGGCTAGTTATCTGGTTATGTTTACCTTATTACCTCTCTTAATTCTTACTTTTCATCAGTGTATTGATTTTCTGTGTGACAGTGAACACATGATTGTGTTACATTCTGTTTTGTGAATATTGTCTGTCTCACTGAGCAGGGAATCACTCATGGAAGCTAAGTGACACAGCTGTTTTACGGTAATGTTAGCATACCCAAGGCTTATTTAGCAACAGTCAGTATTCTAGCTATACATTATAAATATAAAAAATTGCATAAGGATCAGATCTGGCCAAATAAACATCAAATTTACGCAAAAACATAGTAGATAGTATATCGTTAATAGGCATTATGAAGTCTTATAGTTGACGGATTTTGCTTTTAAGTAAGTTCAAAATATTTCAGAGTTCAGGAATATTCTCTGGCCTTTTACTGCCAATCAAACCAATGGTGTTTTCTGATGTGTTTAGAGTAATATTCTAAAGTGTACAGCTACTTAAACTACCAATAACCACATCAGAAAACTGAGATAAACAACCAACGTAACGGCAGTACTGACAGTATAATTTCTGTCAACGCTATCCACCCCCAATTCAAGTATATTGTCGCTGCGCAAACATTACACAAAAATGAAAATGCGCTGGTTAAACATCTTACATTTTTCTACAACGAAGTGAAATGCAGATGAAAAAGTAAAGACAAATAAGCAGAAGAGAACAAACTTATGAACTAATAAGAAGTGGAAACAAACGAAAACGTTTTAAAACATCTATGCTAAGTTTTGAAACAGACAAGCTATCTTCCAAGTCCCTAGATTTCTATAATCTTGAAAGTGAATCATTCTTGTGTGCAAAGTAAAAAGTTTTGGTTAACAACTTCAAATATTGATTTGTGTTGCAGGCGAAACATAGGACTTGAAGCTTGAGCTTTGATTTTTCAGTAGCAGTAGTGTCAGTTGTGTATGGCTTGCGAGTATCCCCCCACCAAACTACCGACACACTTCAAAAATCGATCCTTTATCCTAGAACAGTTGCTTTCGACTGAATTATATTTTAGCAAACGAAATGGTTGGTTATTTGATATAGTATTACTCATTCTTCAGTTATGGAACTTCGAGAAAAATTATATGAAAATTACGTCTTAATTTATGAAAGCCACCACTGATAGTGGTTGATAAAAAACATTCAGCGAAACTTCATTTAATGACCACTAGTTTTTCATCAAGTAATGTAACCAACTAACTAACCAAAATGCAGTTGCAATTCACTGAAATGCGCTAGTTTCACTAGTATAATATAGTTAAATTAGTACTGGTTATAGAACAGTCTTAGACACTTTAAGTTTATTCCATTTGAAACAGTGTCATATATATAGGACCTGAAAGAAAAACAATTAATTAGAATACATGTATTACAAGGCCCAACATTTTTAGCTTAGTCTGTGAATGTTCTGACCTTCGGCACAGTTTCTGCTGCAGTTACAACGTAGTCATCAGCAATTCTCGTTTCCCCATATGGTGTAACCACTAACATTGTTAGCTAAGATAGTTTACTATACAGCAAAAGGAACCAAAGTTCATTATGACCTTCACAAGTATCCTCCACTTCAATAATTCCAGAAACTTCAGGATTACATGTAAGATAAGCTGGATATCGTTCAACAATTCTTGTTAATGTTCATCAAAACATTCCCATTACTTGACATAAAGTGCAGGAATTTTCAGAATTTAATCAAGCAACTCTGAGTTAAGCAACTTTCACTGGCATCACATAACCCTGCAAAAAAAGTAAACCTAATGAATCCTATGTGCGTCGGTGGCACAGCTGTAGAGTGTTTGCCAACCACGCATATGATTCGGGGTTTGATCCACAGCCGACTCACTCTCAAACCTCACCAGGCGAGTAATAAGACTGATAACCAGGGAAGGTTGGGCATGAGGCTGAAAATCCCATCCCGTAAAAATAAACTCCATCGCTACCGAAGCTTTAGAGCTTGAAGCCTTATGTTCCACTGGGAATAAAATAATAAATAATAATGAATCCCATGTAGTCATGCAGAAGGACGAATAGAGTAAGCCATATAAGTGAGAATAGTTCATCAATTCGCACAAAATTTCAAGTGAAAGAAGTAAACACAATGCTTTGCCTAACTCCTTACATACAAAAAGCAGTTGAAATTTTCGTATCTAGGATCAGGGCGAAAATAACATACAATTGAAAGCAATTTGAAACCAAATAGTTTGCATATTTTTTACATACGTGTAATTGAACAAGTGAAGTAAAATGATAAACCAAGTGTGTGAATCCCAAAAAGAGACAACAAAAAGTAGCTATACATCTCATGTAGTCATTTGAGTCAGCCAAAGAGACCAATTTTCACTAAATTGTGAAACACTAAATTCTTCAATACTTAACCGTAAAATTTCATCTATATACTCCTCGGCAGAAATAGATGAACATACGCTGGACCTGAAATAACTCCGCTCCTTGGTTCAATCGGTGAATAGTACGAAAGAAACCAAGAGTCTCCTAGGATTTTTATGAAAAAATACTAAATGCAATAAGCCAATGACACGCAATTACTTCATTTTAAAAGTACTGGGGTTGAAGAACGAAAATGCTTTGCATTATAAAAGTTTGAGTTTAGTAACAATGATGAAGAAACGTAACGAAATATTCCAGACTAAGATGTGATGTACAGAAGCTCTAAGAAGTTTGTATAATATCGATCTGCAAGCGTCTTCATTTCGTTCATTTCACAAACCTATTTTTGGACTCAGATGTTTCTATCGCCCCCTGTTGCTAACTTATTTCGGAGTTATTCTGGCATACAGTTTGCTAATTACTGTTTAGAAATTTCTAGTTGTCCACATACTTGAGTACACAATTCAAATCATGTAAATTTAACCACCATCTAAATGATTCTAGCCCATTTTAAAAGGTAAATTCATCTATTTAATCTTTGGAATTGAAATAATTGCACGAAAGATAAGTGAAATGTATCAATACGTACGTCTTCTGATGATCGTAAACATCCAAAACCTCGAAAACAGCGCGTTTTCATGACTCTGTGAAATCGAAAAATGTAAGAGTACTTAAACACTGCCAAGGTCATACATATTGAAACAACTAGTTGGTGTCTAAAGATAAGTTCCTGGGTTTCATTATATAAACAGAATATAGTTCATTCCATCTAATATCTTTTTATCCCCTTATCGTGCCTGTTTCATTCCATTATTAGCGTTAAAACAGTTAGAAAATGTGGTACTCCTACGAAGGCATTCCAGATTGTGTTGCTGTTAGGTATGATGCAGGCGTACCTGAACTCTTTAACAAGCACTTTTCTGATTCATTTACGTGCGATATTTCTGCATGCATTGATTTTGACTCTGTGACAGGAAAAAGCACTGTCAAATATATGCTTGACTGTTGATGTTATAAAAAGCGCAATCAGTTCATCGAAATTCTCCAGTACTCCCGGAATTCACTCAATTCCTTCCTCTTTGCTAAGAATGATGGCCCTGATCTTCCTCTTCTTTCGCCAAAATATTTTCAACGTCCCTTATGAACTGAGTTTATCCTTCTAGATGGAAGCAGACATATATTATCTCTAGACTTAAATCCGGCTCAAAGTATGTTATAAAGTATTACAGGCCGATCAGTATAATTTCTGTTTTTTCAAGGGTACTCAAGAAGGTAATCAGTACCGAAATCACTGAAGATCTCAAAACACCTTCTCAGCGCTGTCTCATAAAGTCCAGGTCATATATAAATTGCCACTTGGAACTATTTGACTTTAATACTAGATTTATAGACGAAAAATTCGTTGTACTCATTGCGTATATTTATCTTAATCAGGCATTCAATGAAGCATGTCATCGTTCACTCCTGAAAAACTAGAGGCTTACGGTATATCTGGCAATCTCGCACAGTGGTGTAATTCATTCATGTGACGTTGGTCCCAGTCTGTCAACATTATCGACACTTTTGCTAGTACCACCCCTATATCAAGTGGCGCACTTCAAGGTAGTGTACTAAGGCCTCTCATTTTTCATGTATGACGTCTGCGATGTTATATAACATGGCAAACCCTTCCCATATGCCAATGACTTAAAGGTGGTATACCAAAGTACCACCTGGGAAGTGACAAATCTGTTTCAAAAAATTCAATCGGGTATTGATAATACTGAGACTTTGTGCAAGTCGTGGATGATGTAGATCAACGTGGAGAAGTGTGGTCCGTTATGCTTAGCTCGCCTTCGTATCGCACCACACTTAACGATATGCAATAAGCCAATCACTATTTTCCCTTCTGTACTTAACCTCGGGCTCCGTTACTCTGCTGATTAAATTCTCTCACTATGTTACCAACCAAGTTTCTTAAGCCAGAGGATTACTTGGATTCATATTTCACAACTCTCAAACTCAAGAATCGAAAATGCTGCTGTATAAAACCCACATATGTCCCCTCGTTGAGCACTGTCCATCTGTTAAGGACAAAATAATGATTGAAAGTTTCCAAAGGAGAATTGCAAATAGAATTTTAGGAACAAGTCTGAAAGTTCTGTACTACTATCGTTGCACAACTCTTGAGATCAAACCTCTTGGGTTCAGGCGCCAACAACTTAGTCTCATTCTCCTATTTAGAATTCTTAGAGGAATAGTATACTTCCCCAATATGAACCTTTACTTAACTCCTTCAGTGTATGAATTTCGCAGCAACGGGTCTTCCCTAAGTCATATTCTACGTCGAACGAAGTCTCGTTCCAACTTCTTTACGGGTAAATATAGTCAAAATGGAACTTCTTGCCAAGTGAAATCAAAACCAGCGCCACAATAAAATGATTCACCTATATACTAAAAAATTTCCCCGAAAACAGCCCTGACACAACTCGCCACGCGCTGAAAATTCGTGATGCTGTTTCTTTCCCGTTTGACTTACGCACTTAAACAGTTCTGTTCACTCAACGCACTAAAAATGACAGTCAGAATTATATTAGATAGTTGGAGGCAGTAGGCAGGAAGCCTTGGACCTAGGTTTCGTGCTAGTTGGCACTCGTCAGCAAGGCTTATCTGCAACCTTGAAAGAACTCATGTCTCTTCTGAGATTCGAACCCGCGTCACCCAGTGGTGCAGTCAGAGACGTTATCACTGAGCTATTCGGCCTCGAATAACCCGAACTAACAATCTAGTATTATCAAATCAATGTGAACCGTGATGGCGAGCTACCTAAAATGGTGGCCACATTACAAACCTGATTGATGAAATTCAGTCTGCACCAAAGAAGGGACTAGACACGCCACACCATTTACTAGTGTCCCATCAAAATACAGTCAGAATTGTCATACTTATTTAGTATAATCAACGTTGCGCTAATGCTGTTCTATGTTACTTTTTCGGTTGGTACAATTATTTGTAAGGCAACCCTCATCTCAAAATATCCACAATCCTTTCATACAAAACTGAGCTGGAATACACAGCCCAGTGTACCCACCACGAAAGCTGCAACAAATTTGCATGAAGAACCTTCTCTACAAACACATTTCCATCGCCTGAGAAACTCCGCAATCCTCATCTGTCATATCTTTTCAGTCATTCAACTTCATTCGACCCCGGCTGCTTGCTGTCAAAATAATCAAATATTATAGCAAATGATCCTGGCAACGCTGCGCTATGGGCATTTCAGTGAGGTAAGAGTTCTACGTCAAGGTCGAATGGTAAACAACCTGTATATGGCAGGAATTAAAATCTCATCTGGTGACTACCTAGTGCTGCCCGTAAATACCATTGCTAAGGCTCCTGCGTTTGAATAATCTCAAAAAAGAAAGATAAGAACTGTCTGAATGCCGCAGCTGTCTGAAAACAAGCTCATGGTATGATTTATCCACTTCAAAAGGACAGAACAAGAGCATGAATATTACTAAGCTTCCACTTTTCTTCTACATATTTTGTGCATTCTGGCGTTTGGGCTTAACTTCTACAGTATCCATTCCTAACATTACCTTATATAAGTTATCATTCGTTTCTCTCTTTTTTCCTAATACAAACTTAAACTAACCGCTAGCATGACCCAATATAAAATTCAATGACTTTAAATTCGTAGCAATAAAAAAGGGAATGAACTCTGCTCTCTTCGTACATTGTTTGTTTAAATTATTAACATTTTCTGGCCGCCTCTGCACCTCTCTTACTGCTTTCTTCTATCTTCTCTAAAAAGTAAACATGACAAACTTCTTATATATTGCTAGAATTTGTTTTCATTTCTTCAATCTTCATGTCATAAAACAGCGTTCAATCAAAATTTGTACTTGTCAAATATGATTTTGCCTGCACGAACGGTGTGTCAATCATGTAAATACTCAATTTATGTGAACAACATCTTATTATCACCTGTGAGGCATTTCTTGACCCAGCTGAGCAAGCTTCCCTTGATTTTATAGCCTTACTCTCTTACATGGATTCTGAATCTGAAATCTGCTTTCCTGAAATCTACAAAAACAGCATGCTTCAGTTTCTAGTTATCCCTAGATGTGATCCAGGTTTTACTCGAAGTGACAGAGTTTGTAACACACGACAGGTTCTCCACAAAAGCAGCACATTTCGTTTGACGACAGGTCGTTGCGTTTCAAGCACGCCATGACAGCTATCTTGAATATTCTTTTAGGTATACTGATGAAGTTGCTGATGAGACTAACGGGTTGGCAAATTTAACAAGGGTGACTTAGTTCTCCTTTTATGGACGTGGCTAGTATTAAATCTCTTCAATCAGGTAGCAGCATTAGTTAGGGGGGCATGGCTTCGACAGTCAAGAGCTCATGTCACCTAACTGAACATATAACTCCACAAAACGGCATCTAGGCGGCTAGGACATAATAAATCGTTGTCGAAAATAGCATTAATAGTTGTAGTTGATGATAATACATAGCATATATCGAAGAGACCCGTGGATTTTACCCAGTATGACCTCCTTTTTCACCTACCGATGGTCAAGCAGCACGATGAGTTGAATTCGCATGTGATGGGTGATGATAATACTGCGTACTTCTCCGTCAGTTAGCACTAAACAAGAAAACGTAAAGAATGAAACTAGGATTTGAAGACTTTCACGAAGATTTTAGTTCAAATTTTAGAATCTCAAACTTTTGTCAGGACAGTGATAAAATGAAACTACCTCCACTAACAGAGTGCCCAAATTTTATACATATTTACTTCAACTTGGAGCCACCACCAGCATTCATGTGGATTAGGATTGACTCACTGCTGACAAACCCGTAAATCTTGCCTGGTCTGCAGTAGACCCGTAAGGTAAAGTTGAGATGAGGCTTACAGCCCTGTGCTGTAAAAGCACACTTTTATTGAATATTCAAAGCTAAAGATTAGATTACTATGTTCTATCCGGAACTCGGAGGAGTGAACATACATGTATATAGCCAAGGTCTATACATAGCGTATGCGTTTTGGAAAGCATAAGGTATTTTGTGTGGCATAAATCTCTTCAATTAATTCCATGATGGTCGAGTCGCGGAAAGCTCGAAAGTTTATAAGGCACATGTATCATTTTCCAATAAGCATATACTTAAGAATGAAAGTAAGTGACTGTACTAAGAATACGATTTGGAAAATATGACCCGGGACAAAGCGAAGAGAATCCAAGTTGAAGTAATAAAAGTTAAAACAAGGGAACTATATTTGTCACGCAATTTCGTTTGGGCTGTGGGTGAGAGTCCATATCGTATGATCAGTGACAAGAGAGTATCTGATCATGCCAAAGTTCCCAAACAAACCTGATTGTGGTGTCACACCAAGCTTAATCTTCAAGCTATAGAACACAAAGGCGTACTTGAAACGCTCCCTGATCACGTCACTTGCTTCTTTCTGATGCATATCGATGGTTCGCTCGGCAGTAGAACCACACTTATGGATAGAGTAAGCAATAGTTGTGAACTTCCGACTAAATATTTCCCCCACTTTGTACGCAACTGACATCTCTCTCCCGCGCTTTTCGAAAACTGCGCTACATTTGCATAGTTACCTAAAACTCTGATTTTTGTGGAATATCCTATCAAAAAGTTGCGAAAAACTTACACAATTATTTGACTTTGAAAAACTGAATCCTTGGATATAATATTGTATGTCAATATCACCTATAACTATCAATATGCCACTCCGTGCTTGATTAACACTAACTAATACCTATAATTGTATATATATTGATGGATTTAC